TACATGGCTTGACTCCCTAACCGTTTTCATCAAGAACTCTTTGTTCAAAAACTTCACAAAGTACACAGCAGCCTTTGGTGACCATAGTGTGCTCAATAGAATTGGGCCCAGCTGCAAATATACCCTCCAGGGGTCCTCCTGACATCACAGCCAGGCTCAAGGGTGGGATGGCTTTGCCCATGAGAGATGGGATAATACCAGCCTGCCTGTACTCTATGTGTCCCCATTCTGCACAGTTCTGCAGAGGGAGGCACAAACAGGCAAAGCCTGCAGAACCAACCTGCAAAATGAGCTCCATCCCACTCAGGCCACCAGGACCAGAACCAGCTTTCTGACCCCAAAATATCATAACTCTAGTTACACTTCTCAGGTTTGAAAAACTAAAAACTGCAGTCTGCGAGCAACCCTGAAAAACCCCTGGCTGAATGGTGTGTGTGTGTGTGTGTGTGTGTGTGTGTGTGTGTGTGTGTGTACAAGCTGCTGAGCAAGGCCAGCCCTCCTCAACCCTGGCACAGCTCTCAGTCTGCATAATCAGGAATCAGGTGGTTGGGTCAGAAGTTCCTCAGCCCTCCACATAGACCAGATACTCTAGACCCTAGGTACATGTGGATACCAATGCCACCCTCACAGGGTCCTCTGTGTTAGTCATACTTGTGTCACTGTGACAAAATAGCCAATATGAATAACGTAGAAGGAGGAATTTTTATTTTGGCTCCATTTAATGAGGCTTCTGTCCGTGGCTCTGTTGCCTGGGGCCTATAGTGAGGCACAGCATCATGGTGGGAGCATATGGTGGTATGAGACTCTTCAACTCATATGCACAGGAAAGAGAGGGCACAAGACACATTGCAAGTGCCTTCTTCCTCCAATCAGGACCACCTGTTTTCTAACACCTCCCCAAATGACATTTCTACCTGGGTACAAAGCTTTGTTCTGTGAGCCCTTACAGCCTCCTTTTTTTCTCAGAACATTAAATGGCTTCAACAATTCCCTGCACTTTTCTTCCAGGGCTTTAGAATTCTTTTGGTGCTGAATAAATAGAAATAGTGAATTTCTGAGGCACAAGCTGCTTGTACTGAGATGTGTGTGCATGCACATTTGTGCATGTGTGAGTGTGCACATAAGCATGCACACATCCATTGTATTCTTTCCAGTTCTTAGTTATTATATTTTATTTACCTGCATCTCCCAACTGTCCTCCATTTTCCTACTTCTTTTACTCCCCATTTTCTCCCTCCCTTCTTTCATTCCATCCCCTTCCCCAGACATGGTCTCAGGTCTTAGTATGTGGTCCAGGCTGACCTGGAACTTACAATCTTTCTGCCTAAGTGCTGGGATTATGTGCCACCACACCTGATTTGGAGTCTCACACACTTCAGTTTCATCAAGAATGATCAGCAAAGCAGTTTGAACTGGCTTAAGGTGAAGATGAATCAGTCATTTTTCTGGCTTCTCTCACCTCCCAGGCTGCCTGAAACTCCTGCTTTATCATGACTAATACACTTGTGTACACTCCAGCACTATTCTTGACTCACTTCCACAAGGGAAGAAACAGATGAAGATGCTGTTAGCATTCTGATCTCTTCAGCATGCCAGCCTGTCTGTCCAGCACCATGCTCTAGGAATATCAGAAAAGAGACCATGAAGTATGGCAGTGAGTCCATCCCCGCTGAGCCAACCATACCCACCTATCATTGTCCATTTATGCCCAAAGGCTTAAGCTGAGTTGTACCTGTAAGACAAGACTGCAGTGAGAAGTTCTGGCTGCCTCTGGGAGACAGGGAGGTAGGGACTCAGGCCACAGATGTAGAGGAGGCCCAGTGCTAGACATCACACCAGGACTCTCTCAAAGGATGTGACTCTATTGGTCATCAAGATGCAAGGGTGTTTTAAAAAGTAGATGAGGAGACAGTTCACCCATGTTGGAAAAGTTCTCTCTTGGGAGGACATTCACAAAATTATCTCTTCAGCCTGTTCAGATAAGACAGTCCTTTTAAAGTTTTGCTAATGGAGTTGGTGCTCTCCTGCTTTTATGTGAGTTCTGAGGACTGAACACAGGTGGTCAGGCTTTCAAGCAAGTGTCTCTGCATGCGGAGTTACCCAGCCAGCCCTAAAATGTTACGTATATGTGGTGCTGGGGATCAAATTCAAGGCCCTGTATATTTGGATAAGTGCTGTCTCTCTGAGATATATTCTTAGAACTGTTTTCTCTTTGTTTTTGAAAAAGATCTTACTATGTAGCCCAGGCTGATCATCTTGCCTCAACCTCCTGAGTACTAGGATTGCAAGTGTGTCGAACACTAGCCTTTTCTGAAACCTGTGCTTTCTGCTTGCATGACCCTGACTATCTGGCTGCTTTTCTTTATATATTATATGGGATATCTTTTCCTGTGTGACAGAGGACCTTAAAACTCAGTGATTTTGGTGTGACATTATGGTCATTGTCTTTGGTTTCTATTGTTGTAAAGAGACAGCATGGCCACAACTCTTATAAAGGGAAACATTTAATTGAGATACAGTTTCAGAGGTTTAGTCTATTATACTCATGGTGGCTCAGTGAATGGCAGTGTGAAGGCAGACATGGTGCTGGAGAAATGTACATCTTGACCCAAAGGCAACAGAAAGTGAACTGAGACACTGGGCATCTATGAGACTTCAAAGCCTGCCTCCACAGTGGCACACTTCCTCCAAGACTATACCTACTCCAACAAAGTCACACCTCCTAATAGTGCCATCATTTTAGGGACCATTTTCTTTTAAACCACCACAGTCATTTACTTAACATGATGATTTGTCTGGGCTCATCTGGGAAGGTTCTCACTTGGTCTCTGTTGGGCTTATCTAGGCAGTTGGTGCCAGTTCACTTGGGGGTTGATTGGTCTAAAGGGACCTTACCTAGGATATCTCATGACCCTCATTCTTCAGCAGGCTGACTGAGGCTTAGACAGTTCCTTCCTAAAGTTCATACCCATCTGTAAACTTTTACCTCTCCCCGATGATATTCCACTGTCTATAACAAATCACGTGGGGGACACTATCACAGGATGTGCATGCTGGAGAGGAGGAAGGCTTCTTGTGTCCATTTCTGCAGCCTGCCTCTATGAAACTGCTTAAAGCCCAGCCTAGTGACACCATCCAGACACATACTAATTTTATGACATTTGCTATAGGACCCAGAGAGATGGAGGGGGCTCTTAGCAACAGGGCTAGGCTTAGGAACCCCTGTGGCCCCCAAGCAGGCATCCAGCATTGGAGACCCCACAGGTATTGGTCTCTACCCTCCATAGGCATCGCCTTAGGCAGTCACCATGAGATCCTCCTGTCCCTGAAACTTCCACTTCCAGCCTAGCACAGAGTATCAAGCTGCTTTTTGTGTAATGGGGATTGAATGCAGAGCTTTGTGCACACTATGGACAACTGAGCTATGTCCTTGGTATGCAAACTTTTAACCTTAAGCAAGTGAGACTGTAATAGTGCCAGTACCAGCCAAGGGGGGACTTGAAGGCAAGTTTATACCTCTCTTTTCCTCTCCTATGCTCACAATTCTACCCAGCCTGGATTACATGTCCATTGGCCACTTCTCTGGCTGCTGCATATCTTGATGGTCTGAAATTCTGTGCACAACTGCTTTTAGATACTGCTCATGTTTGTTTCTGTCACCTGAGCCTGCCTCAGTTTTAGGGTTTGCAAGAGTGTAAAGAACCAAGTGTAGGCATTGAAGCTAGTCTCCCAAGCTTTATGTGCTCAAGAAGTATCACTCTATTCCCTGTCCTTCTGTTCAGCCTGTTTTTGTCCATGCGCCCAAGAGCTTCCATGAATTCCACCCAGACCCCTAGCCATCCATTAACTCACCCTCATTCATCTTCCTTGCAGTGTGTGACAATGAGGACATGCAAAAGAGGATTGCAGTCTTTGGAGCAATCAGTGCACTGTGATTCTCTCTGCTGCTGATGGCCAGAGGCAGAGTGGCCAGATTTGTGGGAGGGCAAGAGCGAACTGGGAAATTAAGATCTGAAGGCTAGTGTGTCTGGATGGGGTCCTGGATAGGTGCCTTAGCCGGGGTCAGGGCTGTGCACAGAAGCAGCAGCTCTGGAGAGTCTGAATGCATGAAAAGCCTGCCTTCTTCTTACTCCACTGTGTGAGCCGGCACCAGTCCACATATAGGCAGCTGGAGCCATGGAGCTTCTGACTGGATCTTGTATAAAGGAGAGAAGGAGACATGGACATACACAGTTGCAGACAGAGCAAGCTAGATTATGGAGTAGGGGAAATGCTTTGGACAAAAAAGAGTAATGGTTGGATCCGTTACAACATGCCTAGGTGTGCGCCTGAAGGCCAGTGTACCACAACCATGCACTACTACACCAGTTTAGCACTAGCCACAATTACCAAGATACAGAACTAGTCTAATTGTGCAGACTAGAAGGAGACCAAAACAGGAGTAGAGAACAGGGTGAAGTGCGATAATGGGACTGTATATAAGCAAAGTCTAATGAAGACAAGTATGGAGACATTTTGAGAAATCTATTATTTTGGGTGCTAATTCAGGGTTAGCACATCCACCTCAGGGCACGGCCACTTGTGTCTGACCACAGTTGGCTCCATCCTTAAACTGAAGCAGCCTTGGCAGTCTCCAGTGGGCTACTGTGGTTTCAGAAGCCTGGAGAAGTCTCCCTTGGCTCTGGTCTGCCTCAGGGTTCCAGGTCTTAGGAATTCAGTTGACTGTCTTGTTTTCTCTTTACCTTCAGGTACTGGCCCTGGCTATAGCGCGGACCCTCTGCTGTCTCTGCTCTTGGTAGCACTGCATAAGTTCCTGCACCCACTGCTGGGGCACTGACAGCAATAAAACCTCAGCAGGCACCCCAGGGAGAATACCTTGCCACATGGACACAGGGACCAAGGGAAGCATGAAGAAGTCCATGCAGAACTAAATAAATCTTATTTTTGGGGAAGTAACACAAATCTAGAAGACTTAAAATAATGCATCAAATTTGCAAATAGGATGGAGTGCAGGCTGTGCAGTGTGCATGGGGCGCTGAGTACTCCACAGCAATGTACAATGTATTTTTCTTTTCTTCACATTCCCTCCGATCTTCATTTTGCACGAACTGTTGAACAGGTACTTTGAGGATAATATGTAAAAAAAAATGTCGGGTCAAAGCCTTTCTGACAAAGTAAAATATTTTTAGGAGATTATTGTGTTTAGAAATTTTTTTGAATTTACATTTTCTTTGGGGACTTTTCTTTATTAAATTATTTCTCTGGAAACATTTTGATTAAAAAGAAACATCATAATTAAAAACTCTGTCAACAATATTTATTTTTAAATAAAGATTGAAAACAAGGGTATAGTTGTTTATAAACTGTACTATATATTGCTGAATAACAGTTGGATAATAATAATAAAAAACCTTTTAAATAGACTTTCTACAGCCATGTATGACTGTCAAATTTCAGTGTCTGCTGCAGCCAGACACTGTGGCCTTCTCTTCACAGACACCAGCTGAATGTCCCCCAGCATAGAAGGCAACCCAGAACACCTGGCTGAGCAGACAAGCAGACAAGGATACCAGCCCAGCCTGCTGACAAAGCAAGAATGAATCCTGAAAGAGAGAGAGGTACTGTGTAGGCTAAGAGCCAGCCTTCCCCTCTGACCTTCAGTAGATCTGAGGTGCACTTACCTGCTGTGAACCAGCCTGTATTGGTCCTATCATGTTCAATATGCCTGGATTTAGGTTGAGGTCTTTGATCCACTTGTACTTGAGTGTTGTGCATGGCGATAGATATGGATCTATTTGTAATCTTCTACAAGTTGATGAGTCTTACTTATTTAAACATAGTGACTTTGGGAGATCTGCTTGTTACTGTACTACAATTCTGTCTATCTTGACTAGTTCAGCATTTACATTATCAACTGCTTAGTTAAGAGAAAAGATAAATCTCATGTTTGGAAAGTCCACATGTGCAGAGACCCTGGCATGAAGCTGCATGCTGGTGAAGAAATCTTTGGACCACTGTTTTCTGGTGGATGCATCAGGCTGTTCTACATTTCATTTTTATTGATCAGCACCAACTGAGCTGTAAATTTAATCATTTTCTTGGTGGATAGTGACTCTGTCCAGAAAGATTATGTTTTTATAGTGGACTCAGTACTGTACTTTGCTAATATCACTGTACATCTTAGCCCTCCGTGCTTGGGAAGTGAAAGAGGCCAGGTTGAATGGAGACATGTGTTAGAGACAGGGTGTCATGCCAAATGTGCAGGGGTTGGGGTGCAGAAAATTTCTGTTCCCATAAAGAAAGCACAGGTGAAGTAATCCAGGTGCCTGCTGAGGTTCCCACTTTGGTGTAACAGACATGAGAAAGAGAGGTAGGTGGTCTTTGAGAACTCTCCTGGGCTCTCAAAGCACACCCAGAGATGAGTGTGGTGATGCATGCCTTTAATCCCACTACTCAAGAGGCTAAGGAAGGAGGATCTCTGAGCTCAAGGTGAGACTGTCTCAAAAAAAAAATGAACAGCAATAAAAAAAATTGGCACCTGAAACAGAGAGATAAATACTTCATCTCCTAGTACAGAGAACAACCTGGACACTTGGCCAAGGCTATAGTAAGCAAACGTGTGACTGTTGGGTGCTCTGGAAGCAAATGACAAGAGTCTGGAGGAAGTGCACTCTGGCAATAGGACCAAGAGCTCACACAGAGTTCTGGCAAAGCAGGGAGCACAAGAGAAGCCCCTGGCCCTGGGCCCTGTGTGTTGGGTACCAACATTCTTGCTGGTTCATCCTGGGCACAAAGGGAGAAGTGTGCACCTGTAGATTCACAATGCAGACTTGTGGGCTATGTCCATCCTGCAGTCCTCCAGGAAGACAGACAGACACACAGCCTGCATTGAAACGGACATGAAGCACACAAACCTGGAAAGACAAGAGTTCATCCAAACTGGAAAATTGCAGAACTCATTGCCCAACCTCCCTGTCCTTTTTATATTTGGTTTTCAGACAAAGGCAGACATGAGTAGGGTCCAAGAACAAGATGACTTATTTCTATGTGAAAAGCACACAATGGGTTGTGGGGTGCTCTGGTCTCAGCCTATGAGCAACACCCAATCTGTTTGAGTTCCAGGGTTCCAACTGGAACTCTGAAAGTTGGTATGACAGTTACTTTACAATTAGAGCTTGAAGAAGAATTAGAACAACAGGTTGAACCAGGAAAAGGAAGCAAACCAGAGAAGGATGGGGAGGTCTCCATGCTCAGGCCTGGGGGATGCCTTAAATTCTGCAGTCCTGATAAAGGTGGCATGCTGGTTGGTAGTGCCTCCCAAGAGACAACTTACTCATGTTCTTAGACAGTAATCAGTCTTTAAAAGCTTGTCCTTGGCAGGCACTGCACAAATTCTTGTAGTTTGACAGGATGTGATACAATCAAACACAGTAGCATTCCAAATTCTACTCTCATCCTAAATCCATGCTCCTAGATGTGGCTTTGACCCAGAGAACACAGGGTCTGTCTGACCTGTTCAAGGTGGGCCTTGGTTTGAGTACAATAAACAGAGCCACTTCAGTTTGCTCTGTTCAGAGTTAAGGGGCTTCTGATACTTCTGGATGAGGCCCAACCCCTATTGCTTTGCTAGCAACCCTCCCCACAGCACATTTGCTGACATTTACAGTCTCTGCTTTTCCTGGACAAGACATGGCAAGAGGCATAGCACATTGATATAGTTCATGCACATGTCTGCACTGTGCTCATGTATACATCTGCTCCTCCCCGCCCTCAGGGATCCCTCCTGTCATCAGTCAAGAACCAAGACAATCCACTAAGAATAAGAGAAAGCCATTTCCCTTTATTAGAGACCTGCCCCGTTTTGTGGCTGTGGACTTGAGGCAAAGTATAGAAACACCAGCAGTAGTGAGCTCTTTTAAGTGACAGAGAGCCATGGGCACCAAAAGCATATTTCAAGTATAAGAAAACATGACTTCACACCAAGTCTAATTTACCAACTATCCAAAAAAGGAAAAAAAACCCAAAACAAAAAACCCCACATCACCACCACCAACAAACAGAACAGCAAATCAACTAGGAATTCAATGTTGCCTGTACTCAATGTTTTCACAGGGTAGAAACTAGAAAACTCTTAGCAGAAAGCACAGATGGTATTCAGGAGGCTGAGGAAGGATGATCTAAATTCTTTTTTTTGGGGGGGGGGTTTTCGAGACAGGGTTTCTCTGTATTGTTTTGGAGGCTGTCCTGGAACTCTCTCTGCAGACCAGGCTGGCCTCGAACTCACAGAGATCTGCCTGCCTATGCCTCCCAAGTGCTGGGATTAAAGGCATGCGCTACCAACACCCTGCTTGGATCTAAATTTTAGGGCAGCGTAGGCTACATAGTAAGATCCTGTATCAGAAACATAAAAAAGAAAAGAAAGAGTTTTCGAGTTAGGAAGGGTTGCTTATAAGTGAATAGGTTTTTGTTTGTTTGTTTTTTAATATATATATTTTTATTTTTATTATATACATTTATTTTTAATTTTAAATTAGAAACAAGGTTGCTTCACATGTCAATTCCAGGTCCCTCTCTGTTTCCCTCCCCTTGTTTATTGTTTTTAAGACAGGTCTAGACTGGCCTCAAACTGAAATGATCCTTCTTTCTCAACCTCCCTGAGTACTGGGATTATAGGTATGTGCCAACATGTCTAGCTAGTGGAAAGTTTTGACTGTGTTAGAGATAAGAGTGTTAGTTTATTCACAGCTACTACAAAGAAAGCCAAAGTAGCTGAGGGCTGTGGATACTTGCAGTACAATCACTTTGGAAGTAGACAAGATGATCAATATCAATTTCTGGCCAAACTGGTCTACTTGGTTTAGCTGAGGCCACACTGTGAGATACACACACACACACACACACACACACACACACACACACACACAGAGAGAGAGAGAGAGAGAGAGAGAGAGAGATACACAAAGCAATGGGAAAATATATAAAATACACAAATCACCATGTCGTGGAGGTAAAAACATTGCCAGTAAATATATAAAGGCATTCAGTCTGAATAATGATTTAAAAAAGTAATCCAGAAGCACAATGACCATGCCCACTTAATTACCAAAACTTTAAAACCATGACAGTGCCAAGTGTTAGAGAGAATATGGGTCCACAAGATCACTGAGAATCAACTGTGGTACAAACACATCAGGGAGAAATTGGAGAAATTGGACACTGATTGTTAAAACTGAACATTCAGACACCCAAAGATTTCGTGTCTGAGTATCAAACTTTTAATATGCATACACATATCTTACAGAAGTTTTTTTCATATAACCTGGAAATAAATACCTGTAAGCAGGACAGTGGATGAATATTATGGAATATTCTCATGATTGAATATCAAATGGTCAGAGTGAATGAGCCACGAACAATAAGGTTACAATCACTGAGCCTCAACATCTGTTAACTGGAAGAAGAAAAGAAAGTCCCAAACGCTGAGTGCAGCACAATGCCCTTTAGATAAAGAGTCAAGTCTGTTTGAGCTGAAGTCAACAGCACAATGCCCTTTAGATAAAGAGTCAAGTCTGTTTGAGCTGAAGTCAACAGATATCTGATACTTGATGGATGGAAGAAAGGATAAGACTGGTTGTATTGAAAATAAGATTGCTAAGTATCATACATAGATGATACATCATACATACATATATGCATAATAGATAGCGCTAGATACATGATTGGGAGTAGATAAAGTGATAATTGCTGGATGAGTAGGCAGACATATATACAGACATATAGATGTAAGATAAATAATTGAAAAACAGACAATTAAGGATGGGTGGGTAGATATATAACTGATTGATGACAGAGAGATGATGGATGATAGAGAAAGACAGATCAAGAGAGGAGTAGATAGGGTGGCTTCATGGCTCAGTGGGTAAAGGTAATTGCCACCAGGCCTGATGTCCACAGTTCTATGGTAGAAGGGAAAAAACTGACTCCTACAGGTTGTTCTCTGATCTCTGAATGCGTGCCACGGGCATTCACACACACACACACACACACACACACACACACACACACACTAATAAATGAATTAAATATAACAAAAATATTTTTCAAGAAAATATGTGACTAAAATAAAACTGTCTTAAAAAGCAAATGGTGGTGATGGCCACCTAGATATGAGACACATAGGGTGACACAGGACGCACAGGTAGATACAAGTGACAACCAAGACCTTAGTTTTTAGGCTGAGAGTGGATTCTTACTGCATCATCAAAAATTGCCAAGTGAAGGAATGAGTTACAGGCAGAGCAACAACAGGCGATCATAAACATAACAGCGAGTGATGGATCTTGTCTGTACAGATGAACCTAAAACAAAGCAAGAAGAAGAAATCTTCTATGGGGCGTTGTGTCACACACAGTAACAACCCTGCATGACCGAGACAGATTAGCCTCCAATTCCATCTCCCACCAGTACCTGAAAACTGGCCATTCTCCTGCCACACCTGACCCCATAGCACATTTTGTTTAGCCTGCAATAGAAAGTTTTATTACTGTCTTACCACACCAGGTACTTTCATGTAAAAGCACAACTCTCTGGCTTATAATACACAAGCACATGGAATCTACATCCCTACTTGGTGACAACTAAGTGCCAAGCAACAGCCACCTGCAGATTGTCTCCCGGCTTCCCTGAGAACTTGCCACTCAGAGTGCCACCTACTTGCCTCATGTAGGTACATGGTTCCAACACCTGTGAGAACGAGAGCTTGCACTTGGACCATTTTCCATTCTATCTTTCACCTCCATAGCCCCTGCCTGGTTGTGGCAATTCTAGTGGCTTTCCAGGGCCAGGAGACAGGGCAGACAATCAGAATTCTCCTCCAAGAGGGATGAAGTCAAAGGTTGTTTTAAGTTAACTCCCAGCCTGAACCAGGTAATTGATGCTTCCAAAATAACATATGTCATGTGTATGGAAGATGACCTAGGTTTCCTTTTTCTTGAAAATTTTGACTCATTTTTTCCCTGCATAATTCTTTGAGTAAATTAGAGAATACAATTTTTTTCTGCTTGGCTTTGGAAAAAAGACTGCAGTAAGCATGTCTACAACACAATCTGCTAGTATATCTATCAAGCTGGTGGACTTCCCATGTGCAGCTCAACAGATTTCTGTTCTCTAAATAGCAAGACTCGGCAGTGGCTATCTAAGCCTGGCTTTCTCAGCTCTCAGCACCTCCCACCACCACCTCCTGCAGCTTCTCCAAACCCCAAGCTAATGAATGGGTGCTTTTAGCTAAGGCAGTTCATACTCATGTTTCAGAATGCTAATTCCCATCAAATAGGATGTCAGTTTTACAAGCAAGTCTTTCCTTTATCAGCAGAATCTCATGTCATTGGACTGGCTGATTGCGTTTAGAAGTATCATCACTTTCATACTAGGGATGGTGACTGGAGACATAGTAGTTGTGCAGTGTTGCACTGTGGGGCACTCCTGAACTGAGAAAGCCAGGAGAGTACAAATGCACAAGTAGTTAATTCTAATAAATACAGCAAGGGGTTCGGGCTGAGAGGTATTCAATTATGTTGTTCAAAGAGAAGATCCCTGATCGTCAGCTGGTCCACTCCATGTTGCAAACAATAGAGAATTTTTTAAATTTGTGCAGTAGGGATGTTAGTCTTTTACTCTGTAATCCAGTCCTTGGTGAATGCCATAAATATGTGCACTGCATGTGAAAGACTCACTGAGAAGGCTCTCAATCAGCCAGCCTGCCTTTTCTTATGGGATTTTCATGTTAGTCTCTCAATACTCAATTAGGAAATACATGACCAGATAAGGAATGATGACTAATAGATGAATGCATGGATTAATATGTATATGGGTAGAATGATAGACCAATCGATGGTTGTAGGACATGGATACACACATACATCAATGGATGGTGGGTGTACGGGTGGGTGGAGGGGTAGATAAGTGATGTGAGTAGGTACATCAATGAATAAAGAAAGGTGGGTAGGGATGAATGGAAGGAAGAAGAGATAGAGATATAGAAAATTTCAGATTGTGAGACACCCCCAACTCCTATCCCCCTTGCAAAGTTAATGATATCTAGGTCTTACTTGAACCAATAGCACAAATGAATCTGGGGTATGATTTATTCCCCTCCAAAAGATTCACTCCACAGTTCCTCTTCTACAACAGGGTTTAAATAGGACCTGAGTCTCAAAAGAGAAGTGTGTGTGCCTATACATTGTGTGTGTGTGTGTGTGTTTGCGTGTGTGTGTATGCCCAAGGCACACATTTAGAGATCAGAGAACAACCTGTGGGAGTCAGTTTTTTCCCTCTACCATAGAACTGTGGTCATCAGGACTGGTGGCAATTACCTTTACCCACTGAGCCATGTAGTCACACACACACACACACACACACACACACACACACACACACACACACACAGAGAGAGACAGAGAGAGACAGACACACACACCTACACACACACACACACAGAGAAAGAGAGAGAGAGAGAGAGAGAGAGAGAGAGAGAGAGAGAGAGAGAGAGAGAGAGAGAGAGAGAGAGAGAACAGATTTGCAAATTTTTTTTGTCTTGGGCTAGGAATATTGGTCAATGGTAGAACACCTGCCTAATACATATAAGTCCCTGGCATCTAGCCCTAGCACTGCCAAAAAAAGTAAGTTATGTTTTGCAGGTAGATGAGATCATGTGGCCTTTAATACCTGGTTGAGGTCTGTCTATTCTTTAAAAAGCATTTGTAATTTCTGTAATAATATGAAAGCAATAAAATTAATTTTAAAAGACATTTCCCGTGCCCCCAAATATAAGATCTGATTTGCAAAGCTGCCCCTCTCCACCTTCTGTCAGAAGCATGCTTACTCTACGGAACACATGGTCTAGGAAACACACTTTCAGTCCCACTTCCTGGATGTCTCAGCATGGCACCAAGCAGATATCTTAAGTGGGGAGGCTGAGGTATCATCTGTAATGGGGGATCACCTAACATACCATCCTTCCAAACTGTAACCCAATAACTAGAGTGGTGGCAACCATGGGAGACATAGGCACACAAGGCTGTGGAAAGCTGGGGCAGAGCTACATGCATCCATACATCACACAGTTTCTGACTTCCTGAGCAGAAAAAATAGCTGACTGTGAGACACCTTCCCTCTCCTCCGTGAAAGAAGGAAGCTGAGGATCTATGAAGAGGAATAAACACAGTTAACTAGAATTCAAGCTGAACTGCAATGAACACAGTAATGAGTTCAGAATGAAATTCAGGAGAACTAATTCATTGTGATGGAATCCCTGGGGAGGAAGGACGACAGTGCTCACTCTTAGCTAAAGTGGCATTTGAAATGATGCGCCATCACAAGCCACCATTCTCTTCCCACTTTGAGAGTTCTGTTAGGCACTCAGGCAGCCAGCTTTCCTTACAACCAAAGCTGCTGTCACTTGGGTAAAACCCAATGCTTTTTCACAAGTGGCTGTCACCAGAAGTGGCAGCCTTATGGATTGCTTTCTGAGGTGTCTTGAAATATGGAGACAAAGCCCAGAAAATCTTGAGTTGTCTAAGCCACAGTCAGCCTGCGTAGGAGTCTAGGAAGCAGATCAAGAACACGAATAAACTGCTGGACAAGGGCTGTGACATGTAGCATATGCTCAATTGAGTCAGCCACAGAGAGTTGTGTGGGTTGAGTGGTTCCAGCATCCTGGGAGAGATGGTGACACATGAACCACAGGGCACCTGCCATGGCAGGAGGAGACATATGTGTGGATTCAGAGGGTATGCCACAGATCAGAAACATGCAAAAACTCCAAAACAAATTCCAGGTCTTCTCCCTGCCAAGACCAGGGTGCTCTGTGTACAGAGACCCACAGGAGACAAGAGAACAAGGCTGCTGCATAGAGATTCCACAAAGAACCAGAGTTATCCAGGTCTCAAGGATGCCTTTGTTGATTGTGTGGACAACTAGAATCAGTCAAGTAAATGAGATATTTGCCATTTCTTCCCTAAATTTTATTAGTCAATGGCAAGGAAAGAATCTATCAAATAGGAAGTGTTTTCAGCAATTATTTTTTTTTTTAGTTTTTATTAAGCAGGTGTGTGGTGCCTGAATGCTACAGTGATACTTGCTACAAAACAGAGACCAAGAGAGTGAAACCACAGAGAAAGTCAGGAGTCTCTGTCCTGGCTTGTTTCTAAACTGTCCAGTCACCTCAGGCATTCTATTGAATAAAAGGGAAGGCTAGTTGGGCTGCAAATGCTTCTAGTGTCAGCACTTAGGAACCTAAGGCAGGAGAAGAATTGTTATAAAGTCAAGGATAGCATGAGCTATATATACATAGCAAGGTCATGCCCCCCAAATTTCATAAACAAAAGACAGATTCATTGGGGAAATTCAGATGGAAGGTCAAATGTCCTTGAAATAAGGACAGCCCTTCAGGGCATCCACTAAATTCTTGGAAGGCTATATGACTCTGGTACCTGGAAAGTAGAGACTTGCCCTTGAAATGTGCTGTAACTGTGTCAGAGCTTCTTATGCCATGTATGACATTCTCTTAGGCACCTCTGACTGTAGTCTTGTGGGACAGCCTAGACAACACATCTGTAAATAGTTTTCTTCTTCCAGATCATGTTCACTCTTCTTCTGGAATCATCCCCAAATAAAAACCTTGTTCTGGGACAGATATTTGCAGGGTTTACTGTCCTGCCTCCATTCTTCCTTCAGTGTGACATGAGGTTGGTGTTTCCTCGAGTAATTACCATAATTTTGTTTTCTGCAGCTAAGTCAGGGATGGATGCACAATGAGGGAGCCAGTGTGACCATACTTCCTTCCCTCATCTCAGAGACAAGTAATCATAAAAATCTGAGTTACCAAGCAGGCACTGCAGGAGTTCGCAAGAATGAAGAGAACTCCCTAAGTATTCCCTGGTAAAGAACAACCCATTTACTGTCCTTCTATACGACCCTGACTGTGTCTTCTTCAACCCTATTTATTCACTTGGCTCCCTTAGTGCCACTCCCATGAGCTCCTGATTCTGACTCCAATTAACAGATTCTGTCCCCATTTTAGGATAGCCAGAGTCAGGCTCTGTACAGGGACAGTGAATGCCATCCAGCAACTGTCAATTATCTTGCTTTTCATCAGAACTGTGGCAGCTTCATGGCAGCCAAGGGTGAGATTTCATTTGTCCTAGTATGGTGGAAACCAAAGAGAAATTCTGGCTGCCCACTAGGATCTGGGTGTTTGATATTCTTCCAAAATTCAGATGTGAAATCCTAGGACTTCAGGTGATAGTCTTATACAGAAAGCCAATGGAGTGAATAGATCATGAGGGCTCTCTTTGTCTCTTTGTCTTTCTCTTTCTTTCTCTCTCTCTCTCTCTCTTGTTTTTCTGAGACAGGGTTTCTCTGTGGTTTTGGAGGCTGTTCTGGAACTAGTAGCTCTTGAAGACCAGGTTGGTCTCAAACTCACAGACGTCAGCCTGCCTCTGCCTCCTGAGTGCTGGGATTAAAGGCGTGCGCCACCACCACGTGGCCTCAAAACAATTTTTACTACTTCATTTTTGGGAGTTACATACTGTAACTATGTGGAGGTTAGAGAACAACTTGTGGATGTGGGTTCTCCTTCTCTACAAAGTGAGTCCCAAGAACTTCTCATCAGGCTTGGTGGTAGGCACCTTAACTCACTGAGCCATCTTGCTGGCCCATTGTTATCATTCTAAGCAACACCCCTTTCCATAAATCCTCTCTTTGTGTCCATTGGTACCCTTTGCTTGGGGTCTTGCAGGCCTGGTATTGGCCTCATACACCCATATGCCTAAAGAAAGCATGCTTTTATACCTCTTTCCTCCTTCTACCATCCCTCCCTCTTCTTTTCCTCCTTCCACCTCCTCCACTTCTCCCTTCCTAAACCACTTTATCATAACAAAGGCACCAGATTCACATGCTGATACCAATAAAGGAATCCCATGGTATCCACTTGGCCTGGAAGATGCTAGAATGGGCACCCATCCTAGCAGTGCTTCTCAAGCATCTCTAAACATGTACCTCTCAGTGTTGTACTGAGGTGCTCTTCAGGGTCAGGCTGGAGAACCTGCATCTCTGATAGATCCCAGGAGGTACTAATGCAGCTATGCAGGTGCTCAGTTGCAGGATATTACAAGATCCTCTAATAAGAAAATGCTTAACCTCTCTTTAGGTTTCCTAAGTAAGCTAGCTATCCCTCCCTATGTCCAACAAGAAAACCTTTTTGTTTAACAGAAAAGATTAAAGGAAGACTTTGTTCTGGTTGAGCTGTGATAAGGAGTGAGTTGTCAATGACATTTTGATGGGGCTTTTTTTAAATACAAGGACATTTAACACAGCCTACAAACCAAACCATTAAACTTGCAGCCAAGTAATTGCTTTCAGAAAGTAATGATCAAATCAGATCCCAGTCCTGAGACTCACCCCATCATCTGCCAGATAGCATGATGGTAACATCACTGGTTAATTAAAAGATGCCTTTTGGCAACTTGACACAGCACTTCTGGCTCAATCAAATCATTTGGTCACGTCAGAGTGGGCTGTTTCAGCTGTCCCCTCCTTGTCTAGTCCCCAGGTGGTTTTTAGCTTTCCACCTTGAACCCTCAGGCTCCTACATATCTCACCCCTGTCCAGCCCACATCTTGTGATGGATTGTGGTCCACAGTCACACCCATGCCTTGTAAACTTGCATATTCCCCTTAACCATAATCCTCACCTGATATGTTTTACCCTGTGCTATCCACTGCCTCAACTGCCAGTGCCTCTCATGGATGTGGCCAGTCATTCCCTCCTGAGAATTTCTGTTTTTGTTAGTCAAGCGACCTGCTCAATCCACTCTCAGGGTATACACAGCAGTCATTTTCAGCAGCAGTGAAGTCTCAATGGTATTTTTTAAAAAACGAGGCTGGCAGATGGTAAGAGAGAATCTGACCTTTTCTTCAATCCTTGAGAAGTAGGGCCACACAGCTTGTTTCAGAGAAGGGGTGTCACCTCAGAACAGAAGAGCCCTGATACTGATTATGTCACACGACATCGGGCCCTACCTTTCTGTCGAACATCTCTTTACACATCTCTTTGGGAAAGAAAGCTTACAACACCACCCAGACTCAGCACTGGGACTCAGGAGGAGCCTGTGGTCTCCCTGAGTTTAATTTTCATGTAAGCTTCATTTCCAAACTGTGGCATCCTTCTCAGTATCCATATTTCTCAACAGCCACATTTCTCAGTAGCTTCACTGCAAATTCTAGTAGGCATTCAGCTTCTGATAAGGGAGACCTGTGTTCCTAAAGAGGCTCCCCTGAACTCAGCACCTTTGACAGGACAAGATCAACTGGAAAAACAGAAATACAACTCACGTGGCTGAGGAATTCGAAAATGATTGGATTAGGGCAGAACCAATTTTATCCAGACTGATTCTTCCTCTATCTCCACCCTTGCATTCCTTGAAATTAATGGCTTATATGCACACCCTTTCTATATGGCTCCAGAATCATCTCCCATTGGCTTAGGAGTAGACGGAGAGAGGCCACTTCTTTCTGGAAGGTCTACCTAAAGCCTTGGGATTGATATAATGTTATGTAGTATGGTTTGGTTTGAATTGGAAATGTCTCCAAGCGCATGTTCTGAGTGTTTTTCCCCCAGCTGATGGTGCTATTTGGGGGAGGCTATGGAGTACTAAGTAGGTGAAGCCTGGCTGGCCTCTGGAGGTTTGCCTAACCAGTAATTCCATTTCCGCTCACTGAGTCCTGCTCTGCTGTGAAGCCAGAAGCCTCTGCAACAGGCTCCTGCTGCCTTCAAGTCTATTCTGTGTCTTCATTACTTTTCTATCACTGTGATAAAATATCAAGACCAAGGCAATTCATAAAAGAAAGTGTTTAATTTGGCTTATGGTTTCAGAGGGTTAGAGTCTGATGGCAAAGGAACACCTGGCCGCTCAGGTCTTAATCCACAGCCATGAGGCAGAAAGCAACACTGAGAATGACAGGATCCTTTGCAACCTCAAAGCCCACCCCTGGTGGCACACCTCCTCCAACAAGGCCATGCCTCCTAACCCTTCTCAAACAGTTCTATCAAATGGAACCAAACATTCAAACATACGAGCCTATGGGGGGGGAGTTTCATTCAAACCACCATACTTGATTTGTGTATCAAATGGAATCACAGTGGTCATGAGACTGTGGCACTCTTATTCACAGGCCTGGTCAACCTGTTATCAGTGGAGCCAGGGACCGAGGGTGAGAGAGGAATGTTTCCAAAGGGATGCTGAGGAGCTGCTAACAGAGATTTTTGCAAGCAGTGAAATTTTCTTGCTAAAATTACCATGTCATACTTAGTCTTCAATGCTAACCTGACAGACTTTGCAATCACCTAGGAGACCAAGGCATGTCTCTGGTCTGTCTGAGATAGCACTTCCACAGCATAAACTGAAGTGGAGCTTGACATTCTAGATGTGGATGGTGCCATCCTATGGTTGGAAACCCCAGAAGAGAGGATAAAAGGAGTTGAGTACAGTATTCCCCCTCACTGCTTTCTAGCTGCCATCATGTCCAGTGACCCACTCTGCCATGCCTTGTCCACCAGGATGAAATGGAACCTGAAAATGATCCAATGCAATGGGGAAACAAGGATATTTATTAACAGGAGAAATCACTTACATGAGAAGCTTGGAAGATGAGAAGCTCCTGGAAACGCGGCCAGCATCCAAGAGAGATATTTACTTTCCCTTCTCCTTTTATCTCTCACCTGTCCCCCTTTGCAGGTGTGGACAGTATCTTGGGTATGTGATCTTTCCCCTACACAATCCCTAAAATCAAGAGCACAAACATATTTTAGGTTGTCTTTACAAAGTATTTTGGCCACAGTGGCACAATTGTAATTGGTAGCTTGTATAAAATATTGGGTCAGGCAAGCATGCACATGCTCACAGATTAACATGCATCAGGTAACTCTGTATTTTTAATTAATATGAGTATCACTACCCACTATATCAAGCCCCGTTTTGGAAAATACCATTAGCAGAGGTTAGGTATGATGGTAAATGAAGCCACTTTACAGTATTTCAAAAGTAGAAATGGGATGGGGCTGTTTCATCAGTTAAGAGCACTTTCTGATCTTTTACAGAACCTGTATTCAGTTTTCAGCACCGACATGGTGGCTCACACACATCTTTAACTCCAGTTTCAGGGGATCTGACACCCTATTATGACCTCTGTGTGCACCACAGGCACACAGACCTATGTTTGAGTACATAAAATCTTTTTTTTTTTTTGGTTTTAGTTACAAGGGGCTGTTGTGAATGCTCAATGAGTAACATGTTTGATTTGCATTCACAAGGACCTGCAATCTCCCAGAACCTATATTTTAAAAATCTACATATGATGGCCCATAATTGCAATCCCAGTGCTAGGTAAAGTGGAAGGAAACATGCCTGTAACCCCAGCATTGGCAGAGACAGGGAGATGCTGGGAGCTCAGTGGCTGTCCAGCTGAGCCTAAATGAGGAGTCTCCAGGTCAGTAAGAGAGTCTGTCTCAGAAAATCAGGTAAAGAGTAATAAAAGAAGACACCTGACAGCTTGCCTTGACCTCTGCATGGGTGTACACAAGCCTATATTCCCACACACCCACGCACTGCACACATACAGCAATATAACACACAGTTAAAATTCAAAAGCAAGGTGGACAGCTCCTGAGGAAAAACAGCCAAGATTGACTTCCAGATGCTTCTTCTTTTTCTTCTCCTTCCTCTTATTCTTTCTCTTCCTCCTCCCTTTCTTCCTTCTTCTTCTCCTTCCCTCCCTCTGCCCCTCCCTCTTTCCTTCCTCCCTACCCCTTCTCTCTCTCTCTCTCTCTCTCTCTCTCTCTCTCTCTCTCTCTCACACACACACACACATACACACACAGCAACAACAACAATTTAAATATCCACAAAATATAAAAGAAATAAAAGTCATAAGTGAACTGTTTGGAGACTGTTGCTTTATTTGCCTTTGATACTATTCTCAGAGTTTCAAAACATTTTAGTAAATAACATGGTATCTAAGCTTCCCTGAGAAGTGAAAACTGAATTCCAAGGTTTTGCAGTTTTTGTTGCTATTTTTTGTTTGTGTTTTAAGTCAAGTTCTTTTTTATGAAACAGTCAAACTGTAGAGACAGAGCCACTAATAGACTGATTTTGACTTTTCAACTCTTCATTCAGTCTATCCAATCTTCAGGAAGATGGACATATCACCACAGCATATGTAACACCAGGATCATCTCAATTGGCCCCTATAGCTTGTCCCCAATAATCTGCATCCCAAAGATCTTAATACTTGAGTGAAGGAAGGAATAGTTCTGCAAAGAGGGCCCGAGCCAAAGCCTGGGTCACTGTGCATAAAGGCACTCATGCAATCTTCATTGTTTAACTAAGTCACTGACTATTATGTGACACCAAGCACAGAGTGGTCTTGAGTGTCACTCCATGCAAAGGACCAAACCTCATCTAGGCAAGAGAAGACACTGAGGTCATTGGAAGAAAAAGTAGTCAAGTCAGGCTCTACACACAACAATTCCTGGTGTAAATTAGCTCTCTCTACGCCACCCAGGGACCCTGATTTTAGCTCCTCATGAATTAGTAAAGTTATTCAATTGAACCCACTGATACAGCCATTTTTACTGTCAAAATGATAAATAGAACTACAGTCTTGCTGTTTTTATGAAGTAAAAAAAACAATTGAGTATTACCAATTTCACATGCTTGACCTAATACAAAACACCATAACAGCTTAAAAACACTAAAGATGTGGCTTCATCATCGAAGCCATTTCAACAGCAAAGACACAGAAACTACCCAGGTTAAAAACCATCAACTCAGAGAGCAGGGCCTTGCAATTTAAAAAGTGCTCAACAGTCAGGCTCATTGAACCAACTTTGCACAGTTAGGTGGACATGTCACCCTAATTTTCCCAATCAGGTAAAAGAAATGTCAGGAAAGCCCATCCTGGGGCAACATCCATGAAACTCTGTGCTCCAGGAATAGGGTTCCAATTATGCACCACTTTGACCCAGAAACCTGTTGTCCTGGCCCCAAGAGAGGGAAGACAATGGTTGTTACAAGGCAGCTGTCATCTGGTTCTCAGTAAGTCATGGAAGACATCAGCATGTGGAAAAGTGATAGAAGGAATGATCTGCCTGTAGAGTCAACCTCACTGCACAGTGATGAGCAGGGTACCATGAGAGGTAGAGAAGCTATTGGATGTAACTCATGGCAGAAAAGAGCAGGCTGCACAGAAGTGATGACTCACAGTCCACAACTGTTCTGTGACAATTCCTTCCAACATTAAGAAATAGAATCATGTATGTTTAGTCTTTTCAGCAATGAGCTCAATATTTAAGCAACTCATTTTCAAGAAGAGACCCCACAGAGCATCATCTTTGCCATATCATTTCTAATTACATTATTGCTTAATTGCAGAGCAATAGAGTGTGTAATTCTGAAGCTGTGATTCATGCAGTGGGTAGGGGGTTGCTGGAAATGATTTAACTTTCATTACAAAGCTAACAGTTGGGAAAACTGGCCTGAAGACAATGGCAAGGGTCCAGACTCCTTGTCTAGCTGTGTTATTGGGTAGCTCATTTCTTTCTACATTATATGGGTAGCAGAGAACAAAGGCCTCTCGGATTGCATCTCATACTACTCTTTCCAGTTGAACTGTCTCATGGAGAGTTTCAGGTTCAATGTGTCAGTGGCTGTATGACTAACATTGAGCTTCATGAGCACCAGGGTGAAGAGAGGAACCTGGCTTCATTCCCAGATACAGGAGAGCCAGGGTCTACTGAGTGGAAATAAGTGTGTTCAAAAAGCCACATGTATGACATAAAGACAAACAAACAAACAAAAACATCCCACACCATCTGCACCAAAAGCACTGAATTGCAGCGTAGAAGAGGTCGCATCACCTGATTATAAAGGAGGCTGACATTAGCCAGATTGAGCATGGTTGGCAAAGTTGGGTGATCCAAACTGGCTCAAGCCAAAAGAGAATTTGTAGAAGTGAATTCCATCACAGCTCTTCGACAGCAATGGGGTCAGGTACTCTGGGTTATTTCTCCATCTCTTGGACCTGTTTAATACACAGAGAGCAAGTCAGTGGCAAGTCCATCAGTTCAACAAAAGTACCCCAGTTAAGTTATCATGGTTCCAATTGACCCATGCTGGATCTTGTTCTCATGCTGAGCCAATCACCAGGCCCAGTGAGAGCAGATGTGCTTATTAGATGATTCAGAGGCTAAGAGGAATGGGAGAGATGCTCGAATGAAAGCTGGAGGGGTAGGTCCTTAGCAAATAGTTCCCATTAGCTTATCCTCAGCCTTTGAGCTTGCTGCTCTTACCAGTTTGCTTCACACAAACCTGTAATTCCATCTCAAGAATCCTACTGGAACTAATATCTTCATTAATTAAACTTCATTTAGGTACTAACTGCCTCAGGCTCTGGAAAAAATGCATTTTTGCTTTAGCTGTGCCCAATCTAGGTCAGTCAAACAGAATGTTCCTTACTTTTTAAAAAAGTTGAAGCACAGCATCAATGAAGTGCAAGAGAAGCTTCCTCGCTGAAGATTCAAAATGAACAAGTCACAGAAAGAGCAGACTTGGGAGGCCCAGACCAATTTCCTCACCACCTTGTGGAATGGCCCTTGGGATAGGACACTTTACACTCACAACCAGCAACATCCCCACAGAAAACTCTACTTTCCCCACTGCCTGTGCCTGACGTGAAGAGGACAAAGTAGTACTGATCAGAGTGTCTGGCTTGCTCAGGAGACAGGAAACAAACAGTTGTTTGGAGGATGTTTCACTACTCCTCCAATAACCAGCTTCCAAAATGGTCCCCTATAGTTCCCACCTCCTGTCATTATCACCTTCAATGATGAGTAACACTCAATAAAATATTTCTGCAACAATGCTGTCCTTGGAGGGTAAGTCATAATCATATTGTGGCTTCTCCCTTCTACTCTCAGATTCTGACTTTGGAAGAAGTCATCTGTCAGGTTGTGAAGACACTCCAAAGGCCTCTGGGGAATTGGAAGGTAATTCAGTGGTGCAGTATTCTCATAGAATAACCAGGCCCTGTCTTCCATCTCCAGCACTACACATGCATGCATGTATATATGCACATACACATGTATTGAAATAGAGACAAAAATAACAAGGAACCAAGCCCCCTGCCTTCATAAATATGCATGGACCATCCTGAGAGGATATGTTTCATTACAGGCAAGCTTTCAGATAATGAATGCCTGGACTGACACTAGATTTCCATGTGAGAACCCTGAGTCACTCAGGAAAGCCACTTTCAATTTCCTGATCCATGGAAACGAAGCTAACACTTGTTCCTTTAATCCACTATATGATAAATAATGTATTTATGATGTATGATAAATAAAGAAATAAATAAGGTACATTTACATCTATTGCAGGTGGATAGGTCTCGTCCCATTATCACCTGTTAGAAGACCTGCTGTGACTTAGTATTCTGATCCCATGAAATGTCTGGAAGCTGCATCCTTAATCCTTCACACACTGTAAATGCCAGATGAACACTGAGCCAGAATCTGCATCTTTTTTATTTTGTTTTCTGAGATTGCCACACTATGTATAGTATAACAGGCTGGTCTTGATCTTGTTATATAGCTCAAACTAACCTCATACTCCCAATCTTCCTGCTTCAGCCTCCTTAGTGCTAGAATTATGGGACCATACCACCATGCTGGGCTAAATGTCCATTTTTCTATATGTGAGAAACCCTGAGAGCCCAAAGGTGTTCCTTTTTCTCAGAAATAATTCTCTCCCTCCATTCAAAGGTAAAATGCATCCCACTGATTAACAGACACCAGGCCAACACAGACTTCAGCTCACTTGGTATAATCCAGGGGATGCTTATTGCAAAAGCAATGGTTGTAAACCAGTTGTCAAGTCAGTGCAATCTATTTCAGTAGATTGTGTCTATCAGGCAACATCTATACCCAAGAAGGACCCTCCCCAGCAACACACACGCTGAGCCATGACTCTGAGGTACTAACTACCACCACGGTCTTGGCATGCCTTCCAATCTACCAATGTATCTAATCCATAGTAAATGTAGGGGAGATGCTCAAATGAGAAATAATCAGCCACATCTAAATCTAAGTTTGCCAAGGTTCAGTTGGACACCTGTCAGCTGTAAATGATGTTGGAATCTGGACGAGTCTGCACTTGGGAAAAATTTACCATACTCTCTTCTCAAGACATTTGAGGAATTATTAGTCTAACAGAGAAGTTTCTCAAGAGGCAGAGACATTTAAGCAATTTTAATGAGTATATCAGAAGGGGTTCAGAAGGAAGGAAGGACAGCCTCAGCTTTGAAAACATCATGTACAAAACAGCAAGTCACATGTGGGACTACAGACAGTTTGTCGTGATAGCGTGAGGTGAGGAGGCTGGAGGCCAGAGGACATGAAGACTTAGAAAACAGTGCATTGGTTTTTCACCTTTCTGTTTGTCTTGGATACACTGCCACTCTCTGTTATAGACAGATTTTTTTCAAGAATATCAGTATAGTGAACAGTCTTGGGAAAGAGATAGAAAGGTCCTCCCTCTGCAAAAAGGGAAGGTATGCTGTCTGCTCATTATAAAGAGAAAAAGTCTCCAGTCAGTAACTTGGAACAGGTAGCTTTTCATCACTGTTACAAATACCTTAGAAAACAAGTTAAAGGAAGGAGATATTTATCTAACTTATGTCTTAAGGTCCACATCTGTGATCACCTGACTGTTTATGGACCCATGGAGGTGGTGTACCATGCAGCACTGGGAGAGGGCAGAACCACTTACCTCATGGAAGCCAGGGATCAGAGGGCAACCTGCCTGTGCTAGCCATCTCTTTCTTTCCTCCCCTTCTCCCCTTCGTCTCATGTGGGTTGCCAATCCAGTAAATAGACAGCACTACCAACTTTCAGGGCAGATCTTTCTCTCCCTTGGGTAATTGCCTCTGGAAATGCCATCACATCTAGGCACATCTAGAAGACTGTTTTACTGTTCTCCTGCCTGAAGCTGATTATCACATCAACTATTACAGCAGGAGTAAGCACAAGAGAACACTGGCACTCCTGGCTACTGGTATTACTGTGAGAATATGCCCTTTACCTCTGATCAAGTAGCCTTATGTTTTCTATCAGTATCCATGAAGCTAACAGGTTAGCCTGTTCCCTGGAGAACAAGGAAAACCTTTTACATCTTACTTAGAGACCCCGAATTTCAGGTTCTATCCATGTTCCTGAGCAGGAAAATAGCACATGCCATAGATAAGTATCACTGGGCACACAGGAGGCTGTTGAGATAAACAGTTGTTGGGTTCATTTGAGTACTTTCTTTAAGATACTCAGAAATAGTTTTATGAAAACAGTTAAACTCTTCTGATCTTTTCTAGCAGGAATTTAATAAGAGTCTAAAGCAGCATTTCCAGTCTGCAATCTAAAGGCTGCATGCATCACAAAACATCTATGAATGCAAACCATCATCTTTGTAGATAGCATACTACATCACTGTGTTAAGGATTTGGACATCACTGGTGGAGGAAAGAGGGGCAAGAAGCCACTGTACCTAACCAAAGTAGAAACTTAATGAGGGTTTCAAGCTTGGCTTGAAAGAGAAATGTCATCCAACTCTCAAATTAAAGGTAAGGTACTCACCTGGTGGAACTATTCTAAAAAATTCTAGAAACCAGCACTGAGGAAGTAAGTAGTCACTGGAAGTGGGTTCATGGGATATCTTGTTCCTGGCCCCTTCCTGTGTTCCTCTCATCCTGTTCATCGTGATGTGACAGCCTCATTCTCCACACACTCTACTTTCCATGGTGTCCTAATCAGGTACCTAAGAACGATGATGGTAGACCAAACCTTTTGAAATAATAAGCCAAAATGAATTCTTCTTCTCCCAAATTGTCTCTGCAACAGAGGCACAGAAGTAACTAATAGAAGGGTTGTCCATCTGCCTTCCACCTAGAGCTAAGAGCTTCCTGCCACAGTCCATCACATCCTTCTGCAGATAAGCAAGCTAAATATCCTTTAAAATATCTCAGTTGGCTCAAGTTACCATAACAAAATACCATGGAGTGTCAGAATAACAGGGAATATATACTCTTGCATTTGGGAAGCTGGAAGTTCAGTCAGAATAGTGCTCTCTTTCTGGCTCACCAGCAATTGCCTTTTCATTTTCCTCCACTAGGAATGAGGCTAAAAATGTCTCTATTTATAAGGGCACTAGTCACATAATGAGAGCCCACCCTCATTAAGCATAACTTCCTCCTGAAGATCCCACCTCCAAAGGTCATCACATTGTAGGTGAGGGTTTCAACATATTAAAGAGGGATGTGTAATCTAGTTCATAGCAGGTGCCTGGGGTGCAGCCCCTAAGAGTTCCCTAGACATACACATGATGATATAACCCTATGTGTCTGGAAACCTAAATCCTCAAGTGAAGGGAAACTTGAAGACCACTTAGTTCAGACCCCTACCACTCACAACATTATCAGAGCCAGAGACAGCTTCACAGTTTAGGGGTCGAGGGGAGCAGGTGTGACAGCTCAGAGCTGTTGTTCAGTTTCCTGTTACTACAATGACAAACCTGAAATTGAGATTGGAAAACACAAAATAGGGACAAATAGCGAGTACCTATAACCCTACCACTCTAGAACCTATGGTTTCATGAATGAGAAATGTGGAAAGACAAGGAGGATGATAGTGTACAACAGCCTGAGGAACAGAAGATAAAATACAGACAAAGAATCTTGACACTCAACCCAGACTCTTTCCACCCTAGAGAACACAAGAAAAGTGGTGATGGGGAGGGAGAATTCTTCACTTCCTACTCTAGGTCTGTAAACAAAAGGGAAAAATGAAACAGTCAGAAGCAAAGACAGCAAGAACTAGCTTTAAATGGCAGCCCTACCTCACCATAGTACTGGGGCAAGGAACAAATAGAACAGAGAGAATCTTCATAAAAACCACTCTGTCAGTAGAAAAGTCTTTGAGACTACATCTCCAAATTCCAAATCACCTTTTCCACATGCTGAGAGGAGACCCATAGACCCATAGAACCATGTGCATGGTGGACAAGTGCTTGATGAAGCAATAAAACTCATGAATTAAAACTGTGGTGTGTGCCTCTCAGATAGAATGGAAGACAGAATACAAGGATGTAAACACACAAAAGATGAATTCAAACAATTATAAATAAATACACAATACCAAGAACACAGGAACAGAGTGTTCATGACCTATAGAGCATCTTAAATGACCAAATTACTGAATCATGGGCATAGAATAAGGAGAAGAAAAATCAAAAAGCTTCAGAAAATACATTCAATACAATGATACTTTCCTTAATCTAGGTAAAGAGATGTTCAAAACAGACATGAGAAGAAAGCTAAACACATAGGATCCAAGGAGAACCTCCTCTGGTCACATAATCTAAAACTCTAACTATAAAGAACAATAAAAAGATAGTGAAAACTGCATCAGAAAAATACCAAGTCACATAAAGAGGGAAGCCTATTAGAAGAGCAGATTTCTCAACAGACGCTTTAGAAGCCAGGAAGCTCTGTAATAATACATTCCAAACTCTAGTACATATAGAATACAAACCTGGGTTCTGATATCCAGAAAAGCTATCCTTGAAAAGTGAATGAGAAGGTGTCTGAAGAGATGGCTCAGCAGTTAAGAGCACTGGCTTCTCTTCCAGAGGTCCTGAGTTCAATTCCCAGCATCTAAATGGCAGCTCACAACTGTCTGACTGTAGTCCCATTTGACTCCAGTCCTATAGGACCCAATGCTTCCTCTGATGTGCATACATGCAGACAAAGCACCTATATACAAGAAATACATACCTAAATAAATCTTTAAAAAATGAAATAATTGAATGAGAAAAGAAAACACTAGAATTAAAGGAATTCGTGGCCATGAAGGAGGACCACAGAAGATACCTGGAGGAAACCTACACTGAAGAAAGAGATGAAGATGTGAGTAAGGACACAGAAAAGTAGGAGCTGCACAATGAGAGTAGGGATCAACAGAGGATTAGGAAAGTAACAAATACTACAAAACTGTCGGAATTAACGCAAACCTGTCAGTCATAACTCTGCATGAACAATGGACTCAATTATCCAATCAAAAAACAGATTATCCTGATGGGTCAAAAAACAGGACCCAGCTCCCCACTTTGTCTCTGTCTCCACCTCTTTCCCTCCTATATCCTTCCAACTCCCTTGCCTCCTCAATCACTCACTCCTGATTTTCCACTTAATCTTGGTTTCACCCAGGTGGTGGTAATTCAAAATTCCTGCAACTAGTAGCTAAAATTAAAATTCATTCCTTTCCATCACTGCCTCAAGCATTTCACCACAGCAGTGAGGGATGGCTAATATAGCAGGTTTGGGCCCAGAAAAAATGAGGAAAAGTAAAGGACAAAGTATTGAGGTTTTCTGTGAAAAGGGATATTGACATTATTTTACTCATCACTACTCAAAATTAAAAAATCTATAGATCTAGAAAATGTAGTAGAGTCAGGGGTATAAGTCAGTTGTCTAACTCTAACTTGGGGTGCATGAGGCCATGATGGAACTCTCTAGGACTTAAAAATGTGCTCAAGGACAAAGTTAACTTGCTTGATAACTGTTTTTCAGAAAAGAGAACTAGACATTATTATTGCAGAGAACTAGACATATGTTATTGCAGTGGTGAGGCAGCTCCAAAGTGAAATGTACATGAATATATGTATATATGCATATATATGAACCACAAACTACAATTCATAGTCTACAAACATACTAATGCATGATGATGTAAATACGAGATTTATTATTCAGAAAAATGACAAAAATAATTTAAAATTTTTTTCTTCAGTGTGAAATACTTACAACATATAAAGTGTTGAATTATCTGTTCTCTTACAAAAAATGAGGCAAAATTATGTTGAATTATTTCTCACAGAAATAAAAAAGTCACATGAATGTCTTCTTTTCCACATTCTCACTCCCTACACCCATGAATGCCTTCCCCATCCTGCTGATCTGTTCTCTATTTAGCTTGGTCTTAGTTCCAAGCATGGCAGATAATGCTAGAAGCCCAGGATTCTACAGAGGTTGTTGCAAGGAGGAGGAAGCTTCAGTAACTGTCAAACTCATTGTACATGTGGATAAATAGAGAAGGCAGCCAGACTCACTGGATCACAACCTTGCTATTATAAGAAGAGAGGAAAGAAAAAAAATAATGTCCATCTGTCGGAAGCCTGAGTGTGATCCACAGTGAGTTCTAGAACAGGAGCCACAGAGACAAGCCTATCTCAGGAAAACTAAAGATGAGGAGGAGAGAAAACATCCAGAGGTAGCCGAGTCTGGGAAACAAGAGCAACAAAAGTTTGAAAGAGAGAATATGTGCAACCAAACTCACCATAAGCCTTTAGCTTCTTGCTTCTACTATCAGCATCCAATTGCAAGCATCTTCACGATGAACAGGAGACCATGGCTTCTGGAAGTTCATAGTGATATCACCCACCAGTGTAAGGATGCATGGTCATGCTGGTCCAAGAATGAAACCCTACAAAGGGATAAAAAGTAGAGGAGGAAAGTGTAAGTCCATCCTGGGAAAGCACAGACTAAGGAAGGACTCTAAGAGAAGAAACCAAAGAAAAGAGTCTTAGAGTTCATCATTCAAGGTTCACTCAATGCCCTTCAGCACAGTCACCAGGAAGTCTTTGATCTCTTCCTTGGATCATGGACAGATGCTGACAGCTCATAAATAAGATAAACAGAAATGTGTTATCACCTGAGTTCCTTCAACCTGGGTGTTCTTCTCCTTCCTTCCAAGGTACTGACTGTAATACAGTGTATACTCATGGGACACTTTCTGTTGGAATGTGACAGATCATATGGACATTAACACATCAGTTAACCATGATAGTCCAGGCTAAATGTCACAGAAATGGGATTTCCATGGCATGATTTCCTCCTTTCACTAGTCCACACCTCAGACTCCATGGCTACTGTTGGTCTCCTGACATCTGCTCCACCCAATTTCATCTTTTAGCTCAGAATCGGACCTTCCCATTGGCTACTGACTGATTTATGACATCATTCTTCCTCCAACCCTATCAACACCTGGTAGAATCTTGGTGTTTCCATGGAGATAACCTGTAAACAAATTTGTGACCAGTGACCAGTGAGTGCTGTCTCATACTAGACACACTTGCCTCTGAGGTCTGCTGATCACACAAGGACAACCAGTTTTTCTTGATCCATTGTATTGTAGGTTGAAGATACTCTCCCCCTGACCATGTCAGGTAAGGAAAGAAACTTTGAAACATGTCTTTTGATCACTTCTCCCCTTATTTTCACTATACATATAAATCTTTCATGAATAGCGATACTATCAATGCTTACATATTTAGCTTTGGTTCATATTAGGTATGTGAGTTTGGACAAACAGTTTACTCTCAAGTGTTTTCCATCCACCTCAGGGAGATAAAAATGTCACTGCTCCGTGGTCTCCATTGTTTCACTTAAGAGGCAAGTGAACAAGGGTTAGTTTCAACCCTTCTTGAGGGTGTTAAACGCAACTGAAACAGGAACACTAACAAGGTATGTAGAAGATAGAATCATTGGGAAAGTCTCTCTCTACTACTGTTTCCCCTTATTGTACCAAATTCTTTCAAACTGTTCTAAATGTAATTTTCATACTAGATATGGTGGCACACACCTGTAGAGCCTGATGGCGGGAAGATCGGTTCAATTTTAATATCTATAGTGGCCTCTCTCTATCTCTCTTTCTCTACACACACACATACACACACACACACACACACACACACACACACGTACGCACAGTGACTGCATGGTTTTGAGTTTGTTTTTCCTAGGTAAGAAAGAATGTGGGAGAGATTAAGAGGGTTGTGGACTCTGAGAAGGCAGTTACTGTAGCGGTAGAAATATTAAAGCTGTTCCATTAAAGAGAAACCCAGAAGAACTGGGGGGAGGAAAAGAAGAAAGTATAAAAATGAGGGGGAAAATACTCAAATAAAAGAAGGGAAACTGCAGATATGAACCTATAAGTACACAAAGGTAGTTTGAAACAGAATGTTGCAGAAAACCATAGATTTTAAATCAAAAGGCACAAGGCATTGCCATTTCCCAAGCCTTGTTTAGGCAACCCAATGTTGAAATTAGTTTGGGTAAATGTTTCCTGTTGCATATAGGAAATACTATCCTCCTCTGGTCCCTGGCTCTTACAATCTATCCAGCCCATCATCTTCAGCACTCCCCATGGGTTGAGTTACTGTTGGTGTAGGACATTATCAGCTGGTGCTGGCCACTCCACAATCAGTTGTTTTCTGAACAACACCAACTGATGTTATGTGTGGGGAAATTCCCAGGAGAATTCCCCTTTAGTTTTCTAGGAAATTAAAAGTTACTGAGGAAGAATCAATTATATTCAGAGATGAAATATATAATACATTAACAATCTCAAGAGGTCACACAAAAACAGGTGCAAACAAGAAACTTTACCAGCAGGTTGTCTTTGTGAATTCTTATATGCATATGTGATTAATGGCTGTAAAACTAATAAGAGATCATGGATGATATAAAGATTGGGAGGGGAAAAGGAGGAGCTTGAGGAGGAAGGGATTATTAGCTGACTACAATAGTTGTCTATAAAATTCCAGATACATCATATGAAGGAAGCTCAGTGTAGAGACAAGCCTGTGGACATGGCAAGTACTTAATGACAACAGCACTCTGGAGGCAGAAGCAGGTTGATCTGTGGAACTCAAGGCCAGACTGTTCTCTAGCTCACTAAGCAGAGTAAGATATGCACAGAACAGTGATAATGAAGACAAGGCATGAGAAGTTGTCTAAGGTTCTCCTATCTGGAAACACATCTGACCTAGGACACAGATGCGAGGGAGTGTCACAGCAGGCACACCAGGGCAAGAAACGGTGGTGTCTAGATCAGAGCGAGGGTTAAAACAGAGCATCTAGGATTCCATGCCCACACAGGAATGACAGGCATTTTATCCAATAAGTGCCATCCTATCCTGTACCAAGAATCATTCTTAATCCATTTGTTTGGGATATGTGAGGGAGCATGGGTGATAGGCTCTCCCAGACAGGACAAACTGGCCACAACACAGCTCTTCACAGGAAGCTACAAAGTTTCCATCTCACCATTTTCCCACTGTCCTCTTGCTTCCTACAGATAATTTCCAAAGCACACCTTTCTTTGGGACAGAATGTGCTCTGAGGCCCTCTGTGCCTGTGCTGAGGAATTCCACACCCACAACAGGAAGTGTGTGCAACTTCTCCAGGGTCTCCACCCCAGCTGTGAGTTCCGCATGGCTCCTGCCATCAGACACCAGCAATTGCTGCCAGCAGCTCATGGACAGTGACTCCCTTTACCAACGAGCTGGCACCACTATGCTGACTACACTGAGTGACCAGAACCAGATCTCTACCTCAGCACTCTCCTATCCGGATGCTCTCCCGTGGGATCTCACCGGAAGCACTGACAGGAGGGAAGCTGAATTCCGGGACTTCACTGTAACTATCATTGACCAGAATACCACACTTTCTTCTCTATCTATGACAACCCAGTGTAATAATATTTTAGATCCCAATGCCTTAGTCCCTTTCTACCCAACACTGTCTGCTAGCCTTATCCAGGGTACACCACCACAGGTGTCAAATCAAGGAGACAGTCTGGCACCTTCCTATCAGGAGGGCAGTCAAGTCTATTACTATGACCACAACAGCTTGGGCCCTCTGATGGCTGGAGAACTCCTGCAGTGTCTGCAGGCCTACGGCTCTGTGTCCTACCCTGGGAATCAGGCCTCTGCCCTGCAACCAGAGATGGTGATGGTGCTAAAGGAGATTCAGCCAACGAATGTTCAAACACCTTTCTCCACCTCTGCCATCTATTATCCCAGGTCTGCTGAATCCATGCCAGACACCAGTCTTCAAGGTGAGTAAATCCAGGAAGGCAAGGAGTGAGATCAGCAACCAAACAAAGGGGACACAACTTTACCTTTTAACAGTCATGTCCACACAGAGAAAGAATGTGAGTCCTGATAGGTTAGGTTTGCCTCTGGCTCACTTTGCCCATCTCTAGTCTCTATGACGACAGAGAATGCAGGGCATGAGTGGCATCCATCCTTCATAAAGACATGTCCAAGGAGCACACTACAGGCACATATATTACTGTTCAAAGTAGCCAGCCCCATGCACCAACACACTGCAGTCACCTCCTTCCGAATCTAGTTTTCAGGACCCTAGAGGAAGGAAAGTCCTTTCTGTTTTGGTAGCACTTGATTTTTTTCCTGTTTTGAAATCTGACTGCAGAGCAATGCAATTCCGAATCAGATCTGGAGGAATTATTCTTTCCAGATTCCAAGTGCTGGTCCTGCCATTCTCTTACAAATATAAGGTCATTGAAAGTCTTATATAACCCATTTACATTTATTAAGTTGGGCAAAGCTACCCTGTCTCTCTCTTTTCTCTTTCTACTTTTCTTTTGAGTCAAGAACATGACTATGAAGACATGTTCCTTATTACACAGTCACACCTAAGCCCAAAGATTTCACCTTCTTAAACCAATTTTCATTTCACTAATAACAAGACTGAAATGTAGGGCTGTAGGAAATCCTGTGTTGTTGAACTGTTTGCCTTGCAGGAGTGAGGAACTAGAATCTAAACCCACATAAAAAGCCAGGCTACCGGGGTCATTTAAGTAATGCCCTAAACTGCAAGAAGTTGGTAGAGATAAGTGACTTCCTGGAATTTATTGACCAGACAATCTTCCTAATAGCAAATGTCCAAGGAAATGAGGGGCACTCTTTGAAAGACAAAGGGAAGGCAAGATACGACTACACACAAAGGGAATTCTGTAACCTCTCCATGATCACTATGTATGCATACACCACACAAATACAAAGGAACACACAAACATCTAAGAAGATGTGACATCACACGGTCACTAGAAACAACTGAGCAGTATTATGTGTCTCCACACAGAGGTGATGCACTTCTCACTCAGGCAGAGCTAACAGGAAGCCCCCCCCCTTCTGTAAGGTCCTGAGTGCTGAGGTGTACTGCAAGGAGGGGAGCAGCTCACTCATCTCACTCACCAGGCACTGACTTTTTCCTTCACTCTTTTTCAGTGGTGGACATGGAGACGTCCCTGGGACTAATACCTTCAGGCCAGACGATCTGTCTGCTGCAGAGTTCAGACCTCTGTAATGCCTGCACACAGGATGCACAGATAAAAACACCACTTGCGGATGGGGACAGATCATTAACTGCCCCCATCCACAGTCCTTCTGAGTTCCTGGCCTTGCCTCCAGCTCCAGGCCTGGAACAAACAGAGAATAACAACTTGGATGAGATGACAGCCAATCTATCAACACCTCTGGATGCCTATGAGGGCACAACAGAAAACCAAGACTCATCACTCTTCCCTTTAGCACACCCCGACATGCAGCAGGCCCTGCATTATACTGATGCTGGGAGAATATGGCAGAAACAAGCTTCTGACAATGCCACCTTGGGAAGCAGCAGCCTGGATCAGGAAGAGCTAGGGGGTCTGCAGAGTGCAATGGGGTCTGGCATTGACTTTGCAGACATGGCTACAATGGTGACAGATATTCACCTTCCCCAAGTTTTCAACTCCCTCTCTGATGTAGACAGATTCCAGGATACCACAGCAACCCAATCCAAAGATGTCAGGAGTGATCAGGCCCAGGAAAGCCCAAGTGTCATCAGTGTACCCTCTGACCAAGTGAGGGGCACCCAGAAAGCCTCTGAGCTGCTTGATGGAGCTCCTCAGGTGAAAAATCAGTGCCAGGATGTGGTGGAGGGAGAAGGAACTGAGGGTAGTGCTAGGGCCAGTGAAGGGGCTCTTGACAACACGGCCAGGCACTTGGATGGCACAGCTCAGAAATCCACACCCAGCAGGCCCAGGATAGCTAGGGCACAGGGCCAAGACAAGACCAAGAAGACCAGAGAAAACAAAACCAAGAAAAAAGGGGAACTGAAGCCATCTTGTCCCAGAGTCAAGGCAGAAGAGAAGCCCACCATCTCCAAGACCAAGAGGACGAGGAATCCACCTGAGCTTAGCCAGGACAACTTTAAAAAGCCTCGAACTCACCTCGGCATGCACATGCTGGAATCTGTGCAGGTCTTTCACCCACTTGGAAAGAAGAGTGATAAGAAAATGGGCATCTCTTCTTCCCGGGCTCTACTAAATTTAAGCAGCAACAAAGATACCAGGACAGGCCCAGTCACCACATCACTGCTCGATGTGCCTGCTAATAAAACCCCAGACAACACTCAGAGACCAGAGAGTAGTGTTCACAAGGAGTGTCCAACTCTGTCCCAGTATGAGCTGCCCCCACCTGGGAAGGTTAAGTTAGTACCTCTGCCTTTTCCAGCCCTGGACAAGCCTCAAGCAAGACCTCTTTCCAGAAAACTTCTCTCTATGGCTTCTCGTCGGCCCACTGCAGCTTACGCTGTGAGGCCATATTCCCACTCAGCTCCATCTACCACAGTCAAGACATCCCAACCAGCTCCTGCCAGCGTATTGTTGACAGCCTCTGACAAGACATCTGTGCCGACTGCCACCAGTGCCACACGACCTAACATAACCAACAGCTTCCATCCTTGCATGAGGCCTCGGCCAGCTGTCCCTGGGCCTGCCCCCTACAGAGCATCATCTCATCCCTCACTCCAGAGGGAACTTGTCTCTGCTGCCAGGAACAAGGCCCCATCACCTCCCAAACCTCAAACCCAATATCTGCTGCAAGACTTCAGCCGCCAACCAATTCCATGGAGGAAAGTCGACATTCCAGGTCCAGGCATCTCACAGCCCATCACAGCAGAGCAGAGGCCAGAGAGGGAGGCCATGAAGAAGAGGGCTCAGCAAGATCGAGAGAATGCTGCCAAGTACACCTCTATGGGGAAACTTCAGCTTTTCCTTCAGAGGGAGAAGGATATGGAATTTTCTCGATATTATGGTTATGCAATATAAAAGCTGGCCAGGTTTTTTGAACACAGTGCTTTTCAATGTCAACAAGAAGAGATATAAACACTGATACACATCTTGACATGGGGTTTAAAGTCTTAAATGAATGTATCGAATTATTGGTACAAATGAAGGAATTATAGATGGTTATGTAAATATAGATGGATATACAAAATATTTATATTCACACATATTTGAGTACTTAGTAAAACTCCAGAAAAAGTCTCAAGTCTGTTATTTCATATGTGAGTAGTAAGAGTCTTTGAATATTTCTCTTATCTAGATAATTTAATTTTTACATTTTTAAGTGCAATATTATATCCTATATGAAATAAAGCTCATAAAATACTTATTTAATATCAATTAATATAATGCTATAATTGTATCAAAATTATTCTCCTTGAGTTTTCCAGTTTTCTATTCACTACATTATATGTCTTGAAGCAGATATTGAGTTTTGAGCACACCTCCTCCAGTACCACAGTCTGCCCTTTTCTTACCTCTCCCCAGAGAACTATGTCATCATTTTCTGCTGCAGAGCTTTGCCTCTAATTTCATGAAACATATATATAAAGTATTTCATTTGTGTAAATATAATCTAGGAACCACATAGGAAAGGAAACATTTACTGAGCCTGGTTAATTTATATGATGATCTCTGCTTAATTTTTTTCCTGTAATAAACATAATTTCATTCATTTTATGAATAAATTATTTTCTACTGTTAATATATCACATTTTCTTTACACATTTCTCTGTTGATGACACCCATGCTATTTCCCTAATATAGCTGCTGTGGACTATTGCAATAGCCAATTTTTTGTCAACCTGACTAATGTGGAATTAACTAAAACCCAATTGATGGGGTACACTTGTGAGGGATTTTTCTTAACTAAAAAAATTAAATAATTTGAAGTAGAAATGCCCAACTTTAATCCAGATCTTAAATAGGAAGATCTGCCTTTAATTTGGGCTCCAACGTCTGGTGACAGCCTATATACAGGACACAGAAGAAGGAAGTTCTTCGTTCTTTGCTTGTTTGCCTTGCTCTTGCTAGCATGTCCCTTCTTCCATTGGTTTTAGAGCCTACTTCTTAGGGATTCCAAAGTATACTGAAGAGCAGCTGAGATACCCTGCCTCATAGACTTAACAGTTGCTCTACCACTGAAATTTCTGTTGATAAATAGCCATTATTGGACTAGGTAGACCATGATCTGTAAGCAACTCTAATAAATCCCCTTTCTATATGTGATAGATGGATAGATAGACACTAACAGTTCTGTTCCTCTAGAGAATGCTGACTAGTATAAGTATGCTGCAATCAATATTAATGTGCAAATATGTCTCCAATGAATTGAAATACTTTTTGTACATAACGAAGAGTGGTATAACTGGGTCATGTGGTAGATTCATTTTTAATCTTTTGAGGAATCTCCATTATGATCCTGGAGTGTGGTAATTCTAGTAAGGAACACACATGGACATTCTTAAAGCTAATAGAATGTCTGTATTTCTGGCCAGCAATTGCATGGAAATCTTCCACAAATCATGTAGCCCTAAGCCTTACTGCTTTTTTTAAAAGCATATAAACTATATCTTGGTTTAGTTAGCAAGAACAGTTAGCATGAAGCGGAACTATAAAGGCCGAAAGCAACGCTAATATATTTAAGATTTTCCTGGAACCTTTGTTCCCATTTAGCAGGTGTTGGAGTCTACATGCTGGATTCTTTTTTTTTTTTTGGTTTTTCGTACATGCTGGATTCTAAGGTTAGCATGGTGCCTCCAACATGGCATCAGTTGTGCTGAGGTTTGGGCCCTATTACAACTCCTATATTTGATGTAATGGCTCATCAGTGACATAAAGTTTTTCTTCAGTCTATGTTCTTGACAGGGTTTGCTATTTCTTGTCCTAATTAGTGCCATTCTGACTGGAGTGAAATGAATATAAATGTAGTCTTAATTTGCATTTCCCTGATGATTAGTGAGGTTCAACATTTGTATGTGAGTGTGTGTGTGTGTTGGCCAGGTGAATTTCATCTTTTGTGAACTATCCTTTAATTCATGAGTCTATTAACTAGGTTGTCTTTTTTTTTTACTTCTTTGCACTCTAGATATTAATCCTCTATCAGATGTAAATGCCCAAAGACTTTCTTCTATCATGTGGGCTGCCTCTTCACACTGTGTCTCGTGGCTGGAAGAGGCTTCTTGAGTTCATGAGGTTCCACTTGCTAATTGTTGGCATCATTTCTTGAATGACAGAGGTTCTTACCAGTCTTTGTTTGGTTCTGTACTTGTGTTTTCTTTACTTTTCGTCTAACAGTTTCAAGTGTTTCTTTAAATGCTTGGAGCATTTGGACTTGAGTTTAATACAGTGTAAGAGACAGGAATCTAGTTTCATTTTTTCTACAAGGGAACATTCACTTTTCCCAGCTACAACTGTTGATGCTTCTTTTTTCTGCAAGGTTTGTGCTTTTTTTGTCAAAAATCAGTTGGATGTAGTTGTGTGGGTTTATATCATAGTCCTCTACTAAATCCATGAATTTATGTGCCTACTTTTGTGCCAGTGCTATGCGGATTGTTACTGTCTCTGTAATATTACTTTATGTCACGAATGGTGATATCACCACCATTAATGTTTTTAATGTTCATTAGGGTATCTGGGGTACTTTGTGTGTGCATATGAATGTTCAGAGTTTTTTACTACACCCAGGAAGAATGGCATTTGCATTTCTATGGAGATTACTATTCAATTTGCAGACTGACTTGACATTTTCACAATATTAATTCTTGCCATCATAAGTATAGTATGGTTTTTAGCCTTCTAGTATCTATAGTGACCATGAATAACTTTTTCTAGTTTCTATTATGGAAAGTTATCTTTCTTACTTCAGTTATGGCTGGAGTTTTGCTATCTATAGTTCAATAAATTGTAAATTGTCTTTCAGAGCATGAAATATATTATCCCAAGTCCTCCAAACTTTTCAATTTTGTTATTCTGATGAGTCTCCCATTATATACCATTGGTATGTCTCTCTTGCATCATTCAATATCACATTTATTTTATATACTTAGTATTTTGAACATATGATTACATGGAGAGACCTCCCATTGCATTTCTTTAATATTCAAAATAATAAATACCTCCTGTATATAAACAGGATTATCTTCCCCAAGGTTTGAGACAGTCTGTAATGAGTTTATTGAAAATGCCTTTAGAATAAGATTCTTACCTTTTTCCTTTTTGGGGGGGGAGGTTTCAGACGGGGTTTCTCTGTGGATTTGGAGGCTTTCCTGGAACGAGCTCTTGTAGCAGGCTGGTCTCGAACTCACAGAGATCCACCTGTCTCTGCCTTCTGAGTGCTGGGATTAAAGGCATGCACCACTACTGACTGGCTCTTACCTTTTTTCTATTCTCCTGATGCATAGAGTTGGTGTCTTAGATTGGTTTATATTACTGTGATAAAGACCATGACTCTATTTGCTAGTTTTATGTCAATTTGACACAAGCTTAATTGAAGGAATCTAAATTAAGAAAATGCCTCCACACTTTGTTATTCAAACATCCTTCCTTTTGGCATATTTTAATGAATGTGCTGGATTCATTCACGTCTTCAAAATATTAAAAAGCAATTTAAACATTTATTCCAAGAAAAAACTAAAATGCCTCCATAAGATAGGATTGTAGGCAAGTTGTAGGGCATTTTCTTAGTGATGGGTGGAGGAGTGCTCAGCCCATTGTGGGTAGGACATTCCTGGGTTGGCAGTCCTGGGTTTTACTAGAGCAAAGGCTGAGAAATCTATGAGGATCAAGCCAGTAAGTAGCACTCCTCTATGGCCTCTGCTTCATCTCCTGCTTCCAGGTTCCTTCCCTGATTTTCTTCAATGATAGGCTATGATGTGGAATTGCGAGAGCAAAACAAACCCTTTCCACTCTGATGTGTTTTTAGTCATGGTGTTTCATCATAGCTATTGTAACTCTAAGACTGAATTGGGTACCAGGATCATGGAGTATTGCTGTAACTACCATGACCTTGTTGTTTTGGGGAGAATTGTGGAAGGACTTTGGAACTTTGGGCTAGAAAGGACATCGAATATTTAAGCTCAATTGGCTGTTCTGTGGGAGCTTGGAAAATAAGAATGTTGACAGCAGGATGAACAATGGAGTCCTGCTTTGTGGCATTTCAGACGGAAATGAAGACTTTTCATTTGTATGAAGAATCTGTGATGTCTGGTCAGCTGGAATTGAAGAATCAGTTATGATTAACTAGAGACCAGAATCACTAGTATAAAACTTTTGCTTTACTGGAACAATTGATACTGGTTATCTGGAACTGAGAAATAATCATGGATTGAATCATTGATGTGAAATCACCAGGTAAGTATTTATAGTGCCTGCACTACAACACTTCTAATGGATTCGGGTGAGGGGCCTGAGGACTGAAATAAAGACAAGAGACAGCGGGTCATTTGTGCAAGGAGAATGCCTTTTATTGCAACAAGAGGGGAATGTTATATACCAGTGAGCAGGCAAGGTAGAAAACTACCAAGGTCAGAAGTTCACATTCCCGCCCCCGCTCCCCCCGCCCTGCAATAAGGATGGGCGGATAACAGGAACTTGTTTGTGTTCAGGCCTTATCAGAAGGAGGGAAACAAGAAGTAAGCTCCCAGTCACAAGCTGGTCAGCAGATCCCTATGTGGGAAGGGACCAACAAGTATTTACTCAGAGTCACCACACAGAAGCTGTGTTCCAGAGGAACCAGGATTTTATCTCATCCTGGCAGTCATACTTGGTAGTGTACAAAGTCTCCTGGGAGATACTGGTTTTAAAGGCATGAAAGGGGTCATGGAGAAAAGTTGAGGCTTTGCAACATGAAGAGAGTCCAGGAGAAGAAATTGGTGAAAGTGCAACCCACTTGCAGCAGAAGACTCCAGCATTTTAGACATCAGTACCATGGGACTACTACCAAAAACAGAAGTAGTAGTGCATCAGAGTTAGCCTGAGTTTAGAAGACAAGCTGTTGTAATGAAGATGGCAGAGGCAGAAACGTGACCCAGATCCTTTGGGAAGACCCCAGAAGATCATCAATGGATCTCAGACATTGGACATTGTGTTATTTACACAATTGCAGTTGGATTTTGCTTTGATCCAGTTGTGACAGTGCCCTATTTCTTCCCTCTAAAAGTAATTTATTTCTTTGTGATGCAAAGATTCTTCCCTGTGGTCTAGACATTCCGTTAGCCTGGTCTCAGTACATGCATGACCATGACTTACTGCTCTGAATTTCCCAAGAGTATAGTTCATTGGGAGTCTAGAACTGGCAAATCTTTGACTTAATGGAGGACTTTTTATTAATAGGTGACATTTTTTATTTTTAAAATTGAGCTATACTTTATTCCCCACTCCCTCTTCCCTCTTCCCCACTCCCCTTCTACCTTTCCCTGCCCAGAGGGGTGCTTTTTCAAATGGTGTGTCTTGAGAGGCTAGAGAGATGGCTCAGTGATTAATAATGCTTGCTGCACAATAATGGGGACCAAACACATTGACAAATCCAGTTACATCCTGATTCAAAAATCAATAATACCAACTAAAATCACTTGGCCAGGCTATGATGGTGATCACCTTTAATCACAGCTCTCAGAAGGCAGAAGCAGATGAATTTCTGTGAGTTTGAGGCCAGCCTGATGTACATACTGAGTTCCATGACAACCAATGCTAAACAGAAAAAACATCTTTAAAAAACCCAGACAAAAAACAAAAAAGGTTGTCCAGTCTTCCTAATGAACATAGACACAAAAATTCTCAATAAACTGGCAAACAAAATTTAAATCATATCAAAAAGACCATTCACCGTTATCAAATTGGCTTAATTCCAGAGAAACAAGGTGAATTGAATATATGTAAAAGAATAAATATAAAATATAACATAAACTAGAAGGATAGACATAACCTGACCATATCAAAAGATTCAGAAAGGTACTTTGACAAAGTCCAACATCCATTTATGATTAAAAAACACTGAAGAACCTAGAAGTAATAGGAACCTCAATAAAGGCTATAAAAGTATAACCCGTATTGTGCTAAGTAGAGAAAAAGTATTTCCACTAAAATCAGAACTTAGACAAAGGTGTCTACACAGTCCATTCTTTTTTAATACAGCACTTGAAGTCTTAGAACAGTAAAAGAGAAAGAAATAAAAGGAACATAAACAGAAAGGGAGTATCTGCCCCTAGTTACAGATAACATAATCTATATGTAAGAGATTCTATAAACTATACTAGGAGACTCTTTGGAACTAATAAACATTTTAAGCAAAGAAACAAGACAAAAATCAATGTATAAAAATTGTAATCTTTCTATATGCTAGTAGCAAACATATTGAGCATCAAATCAAGAAAACAACCCATCCACAAGACCTTCAGAAAATAAAATACCATGAAGTAAATTTAGTTAATTGTCCCAGTGCTATGCCAAATACATCACCTTCTAGGGGTCCTACCTCTTGGACAGCAAGCCACTCAACAGACCTTGAATTCCTGTAATTTTATCCCCACTCCACTCCACATCCCAATCACAATCCGAAAGAACTGCTGGAGCAGGTGGAGTTTGTTGTGAGATACTGGATTAGACCATGTGAAGATGTGTCACTATGATTGCTTTAGTAAAAAACTGAATGACCAATAATTAGGCAAGAGAGGGAAGGTAGGACTTCTGGGCAGAGAGAGTAACAAGTAGGAGATGCAGAGCAAGTTCTACATACAAAATGAGGAAAGTAAAATTGTCATATGGCAGAATGTAGAAACAGGGTAATTTATGTAATAAGAGCTAGTTATACAAATCTAAGCTCAAAGTCAAGCTTTCAAATTAATCAGAAGTCTCTATGTTTATTTTAGGGGCTAGCAATCCAAAGATAGTCCAACAAGAAAGCTTGCTGTAGGAGGCTGTACAAGGGAAGCTGCACCTGCTACACTGCATCAAGATGGAAAAGCCAATTGTGATCTGCCAGCAGGAGATCATTCAGGTTCACTGCCAGGCAGCCTGGACCATTGTCAATCAAGTGGTGCCCTTAGCATATGTTCACTGTTGCTGGACTCCACCTAATCTGGGCTCTGGGAAGTCAAGGAGATGGAAACAAGTTGGTGAGAGAACACTTCAGTGTTGCCATTTCACTTTCTGGTGACCAACAAGCACGGCTGCATGAACATGTGTGTGCTGATGCTGCAGTCAGGCCAAAGATGGAGTGGCAGACCAGAAGCTGGACCCTGCATGGCACAAGTCCCTGTGTGTGAATAGCATGTCATTTTCCTTCAAGCACATAGGTGCTATAAGTGACAACTTTCTGCTATAATCAGAGTGACAGGCATAGGAAGGTGACAGAATACAAACAAGGGCCACATGAGTTAGTAAGCTAATGAGTCCCATATGAAGAAAAAGAAAAGGGCACCTTGCCCATCAGGAGCGGGGAGCCCAAAGACTGCACATGTCCGGAGCTCCAACAACCCAGGGACAAGGAGTCCAAAGCAGAGGATACTGCAGTTCATGCTTCTGAAGTTCTCATTCCAGCTCAGGTGGCCCCACTGCATTGGGTTCATGGCAGGTGTGCTGAGTGGCAGAAACAGAAAGCACTGCTCATCTCATAAGCCACAAAGCATGGAAAGTCAGGAAGGGGCCAGGGTCTTACACTCCTCATAACCTAACTTCTCCCATGGCCACACATCCTAAAGGATCCATTGACTCCCAGTAGTGCCCTCCCCCCAAGGACCAAGCCTTTAAGACATGGGTGTTAGAGAAGCAGTCAAATACCAGATCATTTCACCTAATCGATCAACCTTCCC